GCGTGTCGAGTGCGCGAAATGCAGGCGAGAGTGCGATTTGGCGGGTGGCCGCGCAACCCTCTGCGGAGATCGTGCGCGTCGAGTGCGCGAAATGCAGGCGAGAGGCGTGGAGTATCTGGGGAGCTGGGAGATGAGCACTGGTGACTTTGTAGTACAACTGTAGTACGCGGAGTAGCTGGGGAGCTGGAAGCTCAGAACTGGTGACTTTGTAGTACAACTTTAGTACGCGGAGGAATGTGTGGAGCTGGAAGCTGAGAACTGGCGACTGCGTAGTACAACTTTAGTACGTAGAGTATAGCTGGGGAGTGGGAAGATGAGAACTGATGAGTGGGTAGTAGGTGAGAACTCGCGACTATATAGTACAACTTTAGTACGCGGAGTAGCTGGGGAGCGGGAAGGTGAGAACTGGCGAGTGGGTAGTACAACTTGAGGGCGTGGAGTATCTGGGGTGAGCACTGGCGACTTTGTAGTACAACTGTAGTACGCGGAGTAGCTGGGGAGCTGGAAGCTCAGAACTGGTGACTTTGTAGTACAACTGTAGTACGCGGAGCAATCTGTGGAGCTGGAAGCTGAGAACTGGCGACTGCGTAGTACAACTTTAGTGCGCGGAGTAGCTGTGGAGCTGGAAGATGAGAAGTGGGTAGTAGCTGCGAATTGGCGGCGGTGTAGTAACTGTAGTGCGCGGAGTAGCTGGGGAGCTGGAAGATGAGAACTGGCGACTGGGTAGTACCACTAACACGTGCCCTTGATAACAGGCAGTGGAAGCCAGCTTGCTGGCTGCCATTGTCCAGATGGAAAGCCAGCACGCTGGCTACCATCATAGTTGAAGTGGGTAAGCCAGCACGCTGGCTGCCATTGTTGAGATGGCAAAGCCAGCACGCTGGCTACCATCATAGTTGAAGTGGGTAAGCCAGCACGCTGGCTGCCATTGTCCAGATGGAAAGCCAACACGCTGGCTACCATCATAGTTGAAGTGGGTAATTGAAGTGGGTAAGCCAGCACGCTGGATGCCATTGCTGAGATGGCAAAGCCAGCACGCTGGCCACCATGATAGTTGAAGTGGGTAAGCCAGCACGCTGGCTGCCATTGTCCAGATGGCAAAGCCAGCACGCTGGCTGCCATCATAGTCGAAGTGGGTAAAGTGGGTATGAGCCAGCACGCTGGCTACCATCATAGTTGAAGTGGGTAAGCCAGCACGCTGGCTGCCATTGTTGAGATGGCAAAGCCAGCGCGCGGGCTACCATCATAGTTGAAGTGGGTAAGCCAGCACGCTGGCTGTCATTGTCCAGATGGCAAAGCCAGCGCGATGGCTACCATCATAGTTGAAGTGGGTATGAGCCATCACGCTGGCTGCCATCGTAGTGGAGTGGGAAAGCCAGTGAGCTGGTTCCCATAATCTAGATGGCAAAGCCAGCACGCTGGCTGCCACATTATCCTTATATAGATGTATATATGCTCTTTGGAGCAAAAGCTCTTTGGCTCGGCTGAGGCGCAAAAAGCGCATCTTGGCTAAGGCATCCTGCCAGTAGTAGTAATAAGAACGCTACTAGGGGCTCCTGGCCTTACTACTAGGAACAAGACGCTATTAGGGGCTCCTGGCATCGCTACTAGGAGCAAAGACGCTACTAGGACCATCGCTATTAGGGTTCGCCAGCTATAGATGTATATATGTATGTACAGATAGGTGGCAAAGCCAGCATAAAGAAGATGTTTATGAAATCCTTTCGCAGGTCTTTGGTGCTGTAGATCTTAGGCACGTTTCGTTTCGTGTTCGTTGTGTGTTTTGAGGTTAGAGCATCGGGTCCCTGGCGCGATGCGCGCGGTGGCTCAAGCAGAGAGACCAATTTCCAAGTGAGTTCGCGTAAGTCTCCACAGACTGTAGCCGGGAATGTGCAGCAAGGCAAGAGCCGTGAAGAATGTACTTGCAAGAAGTTTCGACACACCTCAAAGGCTTCTCGTCAAGAGGCGCGCGGACCATGGCCACTCTGCAGGACGCAGTTCTGCGAAACGCGGAGGCAGCGGGTCAGCAGGAGCAAGAGGCACAGCGCCTGCGAGACGGACACCGGGAGGGAGGCGCGGCATGGTTGCGGACCGAGTTGGAGGCGAAGAACCGCGCCGACTTGCGGCGGTTGTGCGCTTTGTTGGAACTACCGCAGAAGCGCGACGGCGCAGCCCTTCTGAAGGAGCAGCTGCTGGAAGCCATAGTGGACAGCTTCTCATCGCAGGAGTGATGGAGTCAGGGGACGGGCGTAGTGTACAGTGTAACTTTGCGCACGAGCTGTTTATGTTGCAGTAGGCGTCGGCTAGACTCGATAGTGGATAGCTGCTCTTCGCAGGAGGGGTTGTGTTCGGGGATGGGTGTCTGCTTTTGGTCTCCACGCAAAGTCCCTGACAGGAACCGGCACACCCGAACGTTGAGGACGGTTGCGTGAAAGACATCTAGATATAAGACTTTCAATCTTTGTTAAGAGACCCAATTTGTGTTAGGGGTTCTGAAATCCATGCAAATTCCCATAGAGGAAGCAGGGCAGCAGGAGCCAGAGTTGCAGCGCCTGCGAGATGGACATGGAGAGGGAGGTGCGGCATGGTTGCGGGCCGAGTTGGAGGCCAAGAACTACACCGACTTGCGACGGCTGTGCGCTGAGTTGGGACTGCCGCAGAAGCGCGACGGTGCAGCCCTTCGGAAGGGGCAGCTGCTGGAAGCCATAGTGGAGAGCTTCTCATCGCAGGAGGGATGGAGTCAGGGGATGGGCGTAGAGCGGTGTCTAACTTTGTGCACAAGCTGTTTATGTTGCAGTAGGTGTCGGGTAGACTCGACGGTGGAAAGCTGCGCTTTGCGGGAAGGGTAGTGTTCGGGGATGGGTGTCTGCTTTTGGTATCCAAGCAAAATCCCTGACAGGAACCGGCGCATCCGAACATGGAGGACGGTTTCGTGATTTGTAGCTGTATTCGAGTAAGGAAAAGATATCTAGATATAAGACTTTCAATCTTTGTTCAGATACCCAACAATCTTTGTCAAGATACCCAAATTATGTTAGGGGATGGGTGCAGTGTACAGTTCAACTTAGTTGAGACGCTGTTTTCTTGTGCTCCAATAGGTGTCTGCTTCTGATATCCCTGCAAATTCCCATACAGGAAGCAGGGCAGCAGGAGCCAGAGGTGCAGCGCCTGCGAGATGGACATGGAGAGGGAGGTGCGGCATGGTTGCGGGCCGAGTTGGAGGCCAAGAACTACACCGACTTGCGACCCGTTGTGCGCTGAGTTGGGACTGCCGCAGAAGCGCGACGGCAGCAGCCGTCGGAAGGAGCAGCTGCTGGAAGCCATAGTGGACTGCTTCTCATCGCAGGAGGGCTGGAGTAAGGGGATGGGCGTAGAGCGGTGTTGAACTTGGCGCACAAGCTCTTGGTGTTCTGCTTTTGGTATCCAAGCAAAATCCCTGACAGGAACCGGCGCATCCGAACATGGAGGCTGTATTCGAGTAAGGAAAAGATATCTAGATATAAGACTTCCAAGCTTTCTGAGACACTCAACCTTGGTTACAATGGTCTTGTGACGTGTAGATGTATTCGACCAAGCAAAAGACATCTTGATATAAGACTTTCAGTTCGGGGATGGGTGTCTGCTTTTGGTATCCAAGCAAAAACCCTGACAGGAACCGGGACATCCGAACGTTGAGGACGGTTTTGTGCAAGACATCTAGATATAAGACTTTCAATCTCTGTTCAGATACCCAACAACCTTTGTTAAGATACCCAATTTACGTTAGGGGATGGGTGCAGTGTACAGTTCAACTTAGTTGAGACGCTGTTTTCTTGTGCTCCAATAGGTGTCTGCTTCTGATATCCCTGCAAATTCCCATACAGGAAGCAGGGCAGCAGGAGTCAGAGGTACAGCGCCTGCGAGAGGGACGTGGAGAGGGAGGCGCGGCATGGTTGCGGACCGAGTTGGAGGCCAAGAGCACTTCCGACTTGCGGCAGCTGTGCGCGAAGCTGGAACTGCCGCAGCAGCGCGACGGCAGAACCCTTCGGAAGGAGCAGCTGCTGGAATCCATAGTGGACTGCTTCTCATCGCAGGAGGGCTGGAGTGAGGGGATGGGCGTAGAGCGGTGTTGAACTTTGCACACAAGCTGTTTGTGTTGAAGTAGGTGTTGGCTAGACTCGATAGTGGAAAGCTGCGCTTTGCAGGAAGGGTTGTATTCGGGGATGGGTGTCTGCTTTTGGTATCCATGCCAAGTCCCTGACAGGAACCGGGACATCCGAACGCTCAGGACGGTTTTGTGATTTGCAGCTGTATAGTTCAACTTAGTTGAGACTGTGTTTTCTTGCGGTCCAATAGGTGTCTGCTTCTGCTGATATCCCTGCAAGTTGAATGATAGCCAACGAAGCAAAAGACATCTTGATATCAGACTTTCAATCTTTGTTAAGATACCCAATCTGTGTTAGGGGATGGGCGCAGTGTATAGTTGAACTTAGTTGAGACTCTGTTTTCTTGCGGTCCAATAGGTGTCCGCTTCTGATATCCCTGCAAATTCCCATACAGGAAGCAGGGCAGCAGGAGTCAGAGGTACAGCGCCTGCGAGAGGGACGTGGAGAGGGAGGCGCGGCATGGTTGCGGACCGAGTTGGAGGCCAAGAGCACTTCCGACTTGCGGCAGCTGTGCGCGAAGCTGGAACTGCCGCAGCAGCGCGACGGCAGAACCCTTCGCAAAAAGCAGCTGCTGGAATCCATAGTGGACTGCTTCTCATCGCAGGAGGGCTGGAGTGAGGGGATGGGCGTAGAGCGGTGTTGAACTTTGCACACAAGCTGTTTGTGTTGAAGTAGGTGTTGGCTAGACTCGATAGTGGAAAGCTGCGCTTTGCAGGAAGGGTTGTATTCGGGGATGGGTGTCTGCTTTTGGTATCCATGCAAAGTCCCTGACAGGAACCGGGACATCCGAACGCTCAGGACGGTTTTGTGATTTGCAGCTGTATAGTTCAACTTAGTTGAGACCGTGTTTTCTTGCGGTCCAATAGGTGTCTGCTTCTGCTGATATCCCTGCAAGTTGAATGATACCCAAGTTGAATGATACCCAAGTTGACTGTATCTGCGCAAGCGTCACTGCGGAGGAACCGGTGACTGCGGAGTCACTGCGACGCTTGGCGCAGGAGCTGGGAGACCAAGCACCACCGACCCTCCGAGGTCGTCTGAGGGGTGTGCATCTGAGGAACGCGGAGCCGTCCTTGGTGGATATAGCTTCGGAGTTGGGCCTACCTTGCGAGCATATGCATCGGAACAGGCTGGTGGATAGCATCGTTCTATCGCTCTGTCCGCTGCGAGCACCCGGGGCGGAAGATGATGTGAGGTATCACTTTTGGCGCTGGCTCGCAGATTGCCGGACCGTTCCTGCAGCAGACCTCGTAGCAAAGGCATCTGTCAGTTTTCCTGCGACACAGCTACGGCGATCCACGCTTAGTATTTGCGAAGATGTTCCGTTGGAAAGTATTGAGAGGAGGCATGGAAGCGCGGCCGCGGAGCTGGAGCAATTGAGCCAGGCCACCGTTGCCATCTTGCAACACCTTTCTGCTTTGAATGTTCAGTTTCCAGCTGAAGTGCCAGAGACTTGGACCACTGCGATGGAACAACTGCAAAGCATCAGATGGCCAGACTGTTTGCCTGGATTACAGTGCAGTAGTTTGCTGGCTGTGTTGTTGGAGAATCGGCCGCTACAGCGCAGAGGCCTGGCGCGTGTGGGCCGGAATTGTGTTGTGGGGTCTGATGTTTGTTTGGCTTTTGTTCGGTCGCAAACATATAGACTGTCTCCATCGAAAATATGTTGGACGCAAGGTTGGTGGCAGTTGGTGGATTGCTGGGATCGCGCAGATCCAGTGGATGTAGCAGAGCGACTGTGGAGCCTGGCCACATGTCATCAAGCTGGACCAGCAGTGGAGCCAGACAGTGGCTTCCAGGATCGAGAAGATGTTTTGGAGGTGGGTCGGCAGAAAGCGTGGGACTTTTGCGAGGTTTATGTGGACGTTTGGTTCGGAGAAACAGTTTCTGATTTGATTGGTTGTTCGTTCGTTTGGTTTTTTTTCCCGTGTCTCTCTGCGCAGGCGGTCTTGGGCGCACTGAAGCACAAGCACAAGAGTCGTGGATATGATGAGGCAGACAAACTCTTGTTGCGCACTTTGATGCGGCGCTATGGCTGGGAAAGACATCTGGACGAGAGCACATCGCGCACGTGGATGGAAACCTTTGAAGCAGTCAAGAAGGCAGAGGATTGGTCTCGTTTTGCTTGGTTTCTGGTCGCGCACTTGTTGCACCCTGCTTGTCCTGAGAGTTTGCGTGCGTGGCACAATCCGGTGACCGTTTTGGAGTCGAGATTAGACCGCAGTGGTATAGCCCAGGAGGTGGTTGCTTTGCACGATGACTTGTTGGCCTGGCAAGATCTCCACGGGTGTTCTTCGTTGCCCGAGAAGAAGCAGCATGCAGACTTGGCGAAGAGGGTGGTCAAATATTTCAACAGCAGGGAGGCGCGTGTGAGGACCCTCCAGAAAGCTTATCCTGCAGACTTTGCGCCGTTGCCTGGTTACAGAGTTGAGTGTTTGTCCGTGGAAGGCGATTCCCTGCGCGGTGTACTCTGGCGGTCTGCAGCTGAACGTGCTCTGATGTTTTCGATCCCTGGATGGAGAGAAGAGGGCAAGGGCAAGGAGGAGTTTCATCCTTTGCAGGATTTCTGTAAGCATTGGTTGCCAGAAGCAGACGAGATGGAGTGTCTTGATTTGTTGACGAACACACAGCGCCCTGTCGCGTGGAAGCTCGAGCAAGTCGCGAGACGATTGGACTGTTCACCCACGGTTTCTGGTGCGCAAGAAGCCTTAGCCAAGCGCTTACTGCGATCTTTCCCTGAGGATGCAGGTGAATGCCTACAGAAATTCTGCTGTAGATTGTGTCCAACCGACTGCGCAGATGCAAAGTCCTTCAAAGAGCACGTCGCACAGGAGCACGCTGGCGTCGGGCTGCAAGATACTCCCCGGATGCTGATTGAGTATCGCAAGAAGATTCTCGCTCTTGTTGAGCACGCAGGACCTCTTGTGTCTCGGTCGATGTCTTGGACGTATTTTGGGGTTTCACTTTGTAACTTCTTCCGGACAAGTCCTGTGTGGACGCCGTTCTGCGGAAGCGCAACAAGTACTAGACATAAACAATCTGTTCGGTGCGCAGAGGCCAGTCGCGAGCTGAAAAGCGAGAGTAGGCCGGTTTTTCTGTGAGACAGTCCAGTAGTCAATGACAAGCATAGGGCATAGTGGTTGCTGAACTACATCTCAGAAAAGCAGTGTCCTAGAGTGAAGGAAACGTTATCGCTGCTCGCATATCGATTGTCGCGTCGCCTTGGACAAACTTGTTATATGTTATGAACACAAAACTGCCTCTTGTCATGTCAGGTGGGTGATTTATATGTCATAGTTTTGTATGGGAGGTGTTTTGTTGTTTATGGCATTTTATGTGTGATACATATTTGGTGTGTCCGAACGTGGATGATCGCTGAGGTACCAGGTATGAGCAGACAGAGGACAATAGCTGCCAACTTTGATGAGCGATTGCGTTGCCCTGCAGGCACGAGTGAGGAGGGCCGAGTGGAAGCTGCCTGTGTGGTGTGTGCTCGACGTTTTTGGGCGCATGAGTTGAACAAGGTGCTACTCTTCACCGATCCTGCCCAAGCAGAAGGGCTACCACAGCTCCCGGATGGAGTGGATGCAGCAGTCCGTCCATCCCAGCAGCATCGACTGTGCCGCCTGCTGGGAGTTCCACGCTATGCTGAGCGCTGGCCGCACATTGCTTTGGAGGAGTTGCAGAAGTCTGCCGTTGAACATCCTTTCCTCCCAGGTGAATATGTGCTCTTGCACCGGCGGCGCATGCCGGAAGACCCCCGACAGCGGTCCGCTGTTTGCCGGGACTGCCGCACCAGCCTGACAGCCCAGGTTCTGACCTTGCCGCGCCATGCCCTGGCGAATGACCTGTGGCTTGGCAGAGCCTTGCCAGAGCTTCGTTCCCTCTCCGCGGGGACGAAGCGGCTCTTGCCCCTGGTGCGTGTGTGCATGCAGGTCACCGTCCTGCAGCCGGTGGTGCTTCCCCATGCCGAACGGCAGAAGGGCTTCATCGGGAACACCATCTTTTTGCCGCAAGCCAGTCCGTCCGCAGTCGAAGCAGTGTTGCCACCCCGCGCAGAGGACATGGCCGAGCACATCTTGTTCGTCTTGGTGGGCCACAACAGAGGCGACCTGCGATCGTCGGCCACGATGCAGGCACCTCGAGAGGAATACGTTGCCGCTGTCGAGCGCCTCCGGCAAACTTCAAAGTACTACGCGGAGGCAGCGGTCGATCTCAGTCGATGGTCTGGCCAGGAGGAGACTATGTTTGAAGGCTGTGTCCTTGAGACGGACGCAGAGAGCTATTTGGCGAAAGAGCTCTTACAACGGAGACCGGCGGACGCTCAAGGCCAAGAGAGCAGCCAGCAGGAGGAGGGCGACGCTGGCATGGCGGAGGACACGGCGGAGTCCGGCGAGCGAGCACACGAAGATTCAGGACAGTTGCGCTTGGTCTGTGGGTTGGTAGGTCGTCGCCTCACATTTGAAACTACTGATTCTATATAGACATATACAGATAGTGATCTCTCGTTGCTTGGCTTACTTCTTGGCACACTCCTGCTTGGTCAGGTCATCTGATTTCCAGCGTTGTCGGCCTGAATGACACCTCGGACGATGAGAATCGTTGGTTGCGGGTTTGCCGAGACGTGGAGGATCTTTGTCGTCGAAAGCCTCGACAGTGTGACACTGATGCAGAGCTGGTCGTGCGCAATCGGGCCAACAATGACCTGGGTGTGGGTGCTGCGCAGATGGAAGGAGCAAATCTACTGGGTCGAGAAGGTGCGCACGAACGTGGAGTCCTTCATCGCATCCGCCAGGTCCAGACTGTGGCCGCGCATGGGGTGGAGACAGAGCGACAAGCGCAAGGGCAAATGTTTGAGGTCAGGCCACAGAAGTTGGTGGTGCCTTCTCGAGATACCCCTCTGAGCATGTTTGAGCCAGGGACCTGGGCAATGGCTTTTCCTACGTTGTTCCCTTGGGGTGACGGGGTGCCTTTCTTGAAGAGGGAGACGAGCGTGGAAGCTTCTGAAGTGTTTCGTTATTTACTCGTACGCGAAGACCTCCAGTACAGCGGTGATGCAGGTGTTGAAGATGAGGTCCCTGCACTACCTCGATGGAGTTTGTCGGCCGCTCGGGACGACGATTGGTTGCGTCGCGGTGACCGTAGGAATGGACATCTTTTTTTGGGACCAGATTTCTGGTTAATGTCTTTTGTGGCTGAGTTGTTTGTTGGTTCGGACATCGTATAGTTTTGGGGTCTTTGGCAGTTACTATCGTTTAGGAATAGAAATTTATAAATTCTTTTGGTCGCACCGACGAGTCGCTCACCCAAGGAGCAGTTGCTCCCGACGATGTATGATGTCCAACGTCGTTTGACGTTGATGCGGACCTCCAAGGCCTATGTCAAGAGGAGTGGCTTCGGCCGCCACTGCTCGGTCATAGCCTCCGTGACCTCCGAGCACCTCCTGAAGGCTATGGCGCTGCACGGGGAGAAAGCGGACATCCGCGAGTTGCTCCGCTCTCCGGACGTGGACGTGCCGCTCAAGCGCGCACTGGGTAGTGTCCTGCAGGCCAGTTCCAACGTTTTGGGCACAGAAGGTCACCGATCTCAGATCCGTCTGCGAGGCCACGCAGCTGGGTGGCATTACGGCCCAAGTCACATTTTTGTGACACCGAACTTGGCGGACTCGCGAGCTTCTCTGCTTTTGCAATTGCATCTGCAGGGGGGCTCGCGAGTCGAGGCCTATGAGGTCGACCTGGCCTGGGACCTCGAGGCACCTGCACTGCCCTCGCTGAGCGCAATGCGTCGCATTCTAGCTGCCGACGAGTGGCCTTAGGATTGATAATACAAGGATTGATGGAACACAACCCTACTTTTTTCACACGACCAACCCACACCGGTTCCAGCACACGAACCATGCAAAGCAACACATGAAGGGAACATATAGGGATGACAAGGCTGCTTGTTCAACACTTGCTGTATCGCTCAAAACGCGAGATGTTGAGGTGGGAACAGTCAAAAGGGCACAGCAAAGGAACAAGGGCATGGCAGAAAATCATACAAAGTCTTTAGTCTAAATCCTCTCTACTAATTTAAGGCAAGTGTTGGGAAGATATCATTCAACAAATCCTGAGGAACCAAAAACCCTGCAATCTTCTCCCCAAAAGTCCTGAGCCGTGTCAAGAACATAAAATGACACGGTATTGTTGTGTATAGCGGGCTTCCCCACATTTTTGGGCTTGGGAGGAACATTACACAGACGCCCTTTCTCGAAACAAGCTCAGCATGTGGAACTGTCGTCAGTCCTTCTGGAGCTGCCTCACCCAAACAGCTCTTGTCGTAGCACTAGTGCCTGCAAGTAGCGTGAAAAAGGATGGCAGTCGCGCAGTAGTTCCTAGCAGTTATCAAATCATTCAAATCATCAAATACCTCTTTTTCGAAGACATTGAGACAGAAATGTAGGAAAACGAACCCGTCGCCCCGCCTGCGATGGGGAGAGGTGCAGTTGGTGCAGTTGGTCTATTTCCAGTCATGATGTATCGTATGGTACTTCTGGGTCTCCAACAGCCATATTTGTCAGGGATTTGCGAGCGCTCTAGAGCCAACTCTAGAGCCTCAGTCCGGAGAACGTTTCGTTCTTCAGCTTCTCGTCGTTCTCGATCCTTTCCCAACTGCTTCTCCAAGAGTTCTTGTTTGTCGCTCGTACGATTAAGGAGCTCCAGCGTCTCTTCTCTAGACCATCGGTACCACACTGCTGGCATCTGTTCCCCTTTCTGCGTTGTATCGCCATTGAGACCTGCAATGTCGTTCGCTACAGCTTCACTCTGCACGATGACAATGACCTGGTGAAGGTTGTCATTCGCAGCCCGGGCGAGCACTCTCAATCTATCTCCAGTTTGCCCACTCATTGTACTACTATCAAGAACATTGTCGAGAATTAACCTCAGTCTGATCCCCTTCTCCCTCAGCATGGCTAAGAAGGGGCGGGCGATTTCTGCAGTAAATTTGATGTTGGAGAGGCAGAAGAAAGACTCTACTTGACGTTCAAAGTCGTTCTGCAAAACTACGATTACATCCTTCGGCTGTCTACCTTTCAGTTCAAGTGCTGCCAGTGTTGCAGCAGTTGACTTTCCAGCACCAGGCTCTGCGTGCAGTGCGTAGACTCCAACCATGCTTATATTCTGCAGCGTTGCAACCATGAGCTTCTCGAAGGGAGTACCTCTGATTGGCTCAAGAGGCAAGTCTGCCTCTTGCGCAGTCGGTATCAGAACAGTCTTCCCTGCAGCTATGGCTTCTTCAATCCTGCCTGTCAATTCTTTAACATGTGTGTCCGCATCCTTGCCTTCAAAAGGTTTTTGCATTTTCCAGTCGCTCGCAAATTCTCGAACTTGTTTAAGGCTTTTCGCCAGCTCGGCTGCAGGTGTCAGAGTTGCTTGCACAAAAGCCCAGGCACTTGTAACTGCAGCTTGAAAATTTGGATCTTGCTCTACATTAAGCACACTTGAAAGCTCATCTCCAACACGTCTGCGAATCATGTGCCCGCTTCTAGCCCGTGGTGTTGCAAACACCGGTGTTCTTGCACACTGCAAAGTAGCTGCCAACGCAACAGCAAGCAGTACTCTTGTGACGTTGGATCTCATGCCGGGCACAACTAGTCTGCCATCGGGTCCGAAACGGGAACTTGAGAGGACTGAATTTTGGTATCAGTGGCGCATTGGTTGAGAATCTTTGGTATCAGTGGCGTTGGTTGAGAACCAGGTGATATCGTAAATACACAAATTCTAAAGGTCCAAACGTGACACGCAACACTTTTGACCACTTGGTTTCTTGCTTGCTAGGATTTGAGAGGTAGAAGCTGAAGGCGAAAGTGTGATCAGAAAACGAGAAAGCCTGTCAAGCGCCCAACCATTTTCCAACAAACTATGACAACCACACTTCAAGAGCTTTTCTAGTCTGAAAACAGCAGCAACTACTAAGCGAACAATCGTTACTTCGCTTTGAAAATGATTGAGGTCTGCACGATTGGAAGCAAAGAATACAAGATAAAATCACCCAAGCTTCGGCAGCCTACCCAATGACTCAGACAGTGGATGCCGTCGTGCCCCCTCGTCTCTGCCGGTGGATTGGACTTCTTGCTTTTGATCCGTGTCCCTGAAAAAACACAGCAGTTTCCGCAGAGCCCTATTCTCAAGCACAGGCACGAAAGCAAATGTGTTCAAGCATTGTTGCTCTAATTGTTGATTTGATGATGGTTCCTGTTGTTCCTGTCTTCCAAAATTTGCTCTTTCATTTAATCTAGAGCGCGCCTGAGTGCATTCCTGCCTGTGTTTGTTCACGATTCCAACAAGAAACAAGAAAAAACATACAGGAGGAAACCTTTGGCAAGACTTCGAGGAACCGGAAAAGTGATATACCCAAACACCTGCTTTCTCCAGAAAACATGCGGGAGATGTTTCCCCCAAGAAGAAAAACAACCTTTGTCGCCACTTTCAGCTGGTTTTGAAATGTCGTGCTTTGCGCAAACGCTTTGCTGCGATGGGTTGACAAATCACACTCAGTTTTGGGGAAAAAACTATGCCAGGTGTTTGGAACAACATGATTGGTTCTGTTGTTGGAAAAATGTGCAACTGATTTAATGAAAATGTTCCACCGACTTTGCGGAAATCTGTCACCGACTTTGAGAAAATGAGCCACCGACTTTGGGGAAATCTGTCACCAATTTTGGGGAAATCCGTCACCGGCTTTGCCGATTTTGTGGAAATCCGTCGCCGACTTGAGGAAGTCTGCCACCGACTTTGTGGAAATACGTTACCGATTTTGGGTCAATCCGTCCCCGATTCTGCCACCGACTTTGGAGAAATCTGCTACAGGAACTCCGTTTTCAGGAGAAAACAAGTTTTTGGGAAAAACCTGGCGCCTCTAAAAAGGAAGCCAACCGGTGGGAAGTTGGAAGGGTAAATGGCTCAAACCTTCCAACTTTGATGTCGAAATTGTTTTGGGGTTTGTGTTAGGGACTTGTATGAGATGCCACAAGCACAAACTGAATATACATAGTTCCAATTGAGGATAAAAATACTTAAGCAATTTAAGATATATAACTAACTATATATACACAATATGCCTTGTTACTTTGTAAGCAGTGGAGTTGAAATCCCGATGACAAATCAAACCTTTGACTTTATTTGGAACGGTTTAGGCAACAAAGAACTCATTGACAGTGAAACATCTTCATCTGAAGAAAGCTACAAAGCAAACTCATCCGTTAACAAGAACACCAATGCTGAATGGAGAAAGCAAGAAGACGGATACTACAACCGAAAACCGAACGACGAAACATATTTCAGAAGATATTACCAAGAGAAAACGAAACAACCGTGCGTATGCGATATATGCGGTTCTGCCATGAGCTGCAAGTCAAACTTGGCAAAGCACAAGAAAACGAAGAAGTGCCAGAGGTTCTTGGTTTGAGTTCATTATGATTTTATGATGCAAGAAAACATCATAAAATTATAATCTAAGTATTTGTAATGACAAGATTGGAGAAAGAAAAGGTATTGGAAAGAATATATTACGACGTGGAGGAGGGCTTCGGTTCGGTGAGGGACTTGTACGAAAAAGCTAGGAAAGTCGATGTGGGCATAACTTTGGATCTGGTATCTGCATGGATGAGGGCGCAACCGAACAAGCAAACAAGAAACTACAAGAACTACAATTCCTACACTGCTCCCTTTCCCAAGTATGAATTCCAAATTGACTTGATCGATGTTACCAGTCTGTTGCGAGACGTAGGTTCTGAAATCAAAAGTCAACTAAGATATGGTTTAGTTTGCATAGATATATTCAGTAAAAGATGCCACATAGTCCCTATCGAGAATAAGGATGGTGATGACGTTTATAAAGCAGTCATGGAGTGTTTCAGGGTATTGGGTCAGCCTTTGTCCATTTACAGCGACGACGAAGGAGCGTTGAACAGCAAGAAACTACAAACCTTTTTTAAGGAGGAAGGGATAACGCACGTAATAACAAAGACGCACGCAAATCAGGCAGAAAGGATGATACGCACCGTCAAAAAAATGATTGGGGACAGATTGAGGCATTACAAAACCAAGACATGGGTGGAAGTGCTAAAGCCCTCGTTGAATAGATACAACAACCAAATCCACAGTAGCACCAAAACAACACCAATAATGCGCACAATCTTGATAACGTAATTCAGGTCAGAACAAACCTGATACTGAAAGAAAAGCACAACAGAAAATATCCAAACATAACTGAAGGAGATTATGTTAAGATATTTGATAAAGGAAAGGGCAACTATGCATCAAGGAAAGAAACGAGAAGTCAGTGGACTGAAAGAAAGTATAAAGTAATACTAGTTGGTCGTGATTTCGTGATTTAATGAATAATAAGTACTATAAACTAGATGGAATGAGTAAAAGGTATAATAGGCATGAATTACTATTGGTTGATTAGTAACTGTTTTTTTCTTCTGTTTCCGCCTTTCTCTTCTTTTTGCATTTATTTCATCTTTGTCTCTTTTGTATCTTTCTCTTTGTGTTTGTCTCATTGCTTCTTTGTTTTCTTCTCTATACGTTAAATTCTTTGCATTTTCTTTTTTTTCTAGTGTTCTTGTATTTTGTTTTTTGTTCTCATGATGCTGTTATTTTGTTCTCATGATGCTGTTTGTTATTTTCTGTGTATTGTTCAGTATTCTCTATGCTTCTTTTTTTTTAAAACTGTTGAAGGTGATACTCTCCTGTGCCGCCGCAATCTTCCATTCAAGTCCGACCAGCAATACATCTGTTGAGACCGTTCTTATCATTTTCAATATGTCCACCTTCTTTCTTTCGAGTTGCTTTTTGTTTTGGCATGGGTATTCTTCAATAAGATTTTTTTACAATTTTCAACACAAAACTCATCAAACGATTTCATAGGGTAAAACTAGTGTTTTTTGGGGATTTGTATTGTGTATGTAGATAAGATTTATAATATCTTCAAGAGTCTTGCCATTCTTTGACTTAGTTTGTCAACGTTGTTGAAACGATGTGGCAATTACTTCAGCCAACATCAACTATTTTATAAATTTGTCCGCTTTCATCTCTGTTCACATCTATTTATATAGGCGTTATGTAGCTATTTAATGGCATAATGTCCATAAGGCAAACTCTCAAAATCATTAAACCAGTATCGTTTATTATCATAATTACTTAAAGCATATTTGGTCTGATTGATGCTGTATATCTGATGGTTCTTACTTCTGATGGTGTTAAAACTAACTTCTTCTTTGCAATGTCTATTCAATGTCTCTTCATAGGTGTTGTAACTCAACTGATTGCTCACTTTATGCTTGACTACCCCTTTACTTTTCTTGTGTTCCTTCTCATCACCATATACTTTATAGCAATATGCCTTTGGTTTCAATCCTATAAAGTGAGTAATTATTTTACCGTTCATTTCATCCTTGAACTTCCCTAATACTTTCTTGTTTGTTGTATCATAGTTCGGATGCTGTGGTGGATAATCGCTAAAGTCCATGTAATCATTAATATCCTTCAAGTCTTCATATAAGTCATCAGTCTCAACTTTGATTACATAACTATCAGTATCAGTATACACCAGTTTAATATCGTCATTATATTTAGGTTTCAAGACATCATAATAAAAGAATACATATGATTTTTTGAATAATCCAAGATTGTCATACCCATGTAAACAGGTTTGTTTAGTTCTACTGTGTGTTTATCTTTTTCAACAATTACAAGGTCTTCATTTATGATATACCTGTGCTTGAATCGCGGTTTATTTACCAGTTTTTGGAAGCGTTCAGGTGTATTAACTATCTCATAATCATCATGCTTTCTTACATTTTCCATGGTCTTGCCGTATACGCTATTATTCATTAACTTAAACAAATCTTTTTCAAAATAATTCTTGGCATTCTTTCTCTTTTCGGTGTTGACTTCAATGAATGGTTTTAAGAAGTTTGCTTGTTTAAAACTTATTGCCCTATGGACTTTTCTAAGACTTGATCCATGCTGTAAATAAAACTTCAATGCTGATATATGTAAAACATACTTCTTTTTATCCATAACATTTAATACTAACTTACTTGTCTTTTCATCACTGGCATCTTTTCCATAAAAGTATTTATGTATATCCTTTTGGACTTGTGAAAGCATATTCTCACTGATACTCATGATTTCAGGTGCTAATGGATAGTCTTTATGTAAATCATGAAGTTCCTTTGGATAATCTAAATCAACTTCTAATATGTATCCTATGTCATCATCATCACTATATTTCATTACCCTTTTTTCATCCATTCTGCCGTAATACCATTTAAAATCATCATAGGGCAGTTTCTTACACATTGCTAATCCATAAAGATTATTAGCATCTAAATAACTAATGTATGATGAAGGTTTAGATTTATCATAATCTTCATTCATGTGTTTATTGTTTGCTTCTACTTTCTTGAAGGAGCACTGTGTCATTCCTCCCCTTAATCCATTTTCAATCATCTCATACATTTCTTTTATGTGGATTTGTTGAAGTCTCACTCCTGTCAGTGATAAAAAGGCATTCCAAGAATAATTAGGTAAAGTCAGATAGTATGCTGGGTCTAATCCGTAATAGTTCAAGCACATATCCCTAAAATTTTCAAAAACATCGGTTAGTAAATATACATCGGTCATCAAATACAAATCATGATAGTCACCAAGATTTTTTATGTTAAAATGTTTCCATACAATATTTGCTCTGGCATAGTCTTTGTCAGTGATGTTTTCTTCATACAAATGACTCTAAAAGTCTTCTTTCTTTGGTAGTTTTGTTTCATCAAATTTATCCCACGAATTCATATAGTCATAGGGATAAAAACCCTTATCAGTCAGTAAGTTCAAATCAGTTTTAGATTTGATATATGGGTTGGTACTTGTATATCTGAAACGAGTTTCCCAGTCTTTAATCTTTTCAATTCCTTCATATTTGTTTAGTCTAACTAACTTATCCAATGATGCCGTTAAGAAAGCAAAACTGTCTTTAAACTGACAAGCGCCAAATGAAAAGGTTATGAACTTTTCGCTGTTTTGTGCTATTACATCTATTCTTTTGTTTTGGTTCAGTTCTATGTTTAGTTCATTTGCTTTTGCAATGATTAAGTGTGCGTCATAGTTTTTAAGATTATGGGAGAAGATAGGGATTTTAAAATATCTAAATGAATAATCCAGATTACATTTTACATGCGCTGCGCCTCTGTATTTGCCTGTGAAGTGGCAGTGGTCTCTAACTTTTTCATCATCAGGTTCAAATTTCTTACCACAAATGGAGCAATTAGATGCTAATCTAAACTCTAATTTTTGTTCGTTTGTTAAGTCATCCATTGGTTTAATCATATTCATTTTTTCAAATATATCTTTCTTAATTTCAGTCAGTTTTTCTACAAACTGTTTCATACAATCCTCACCTCTGTATAAGTATGGTTGGCATGTATTATCAATCCTGCTTACTACATTCAACATATATCCGCACGGTTTATGTTCCTGATATGTGCCTTTATGCCAGTATTAGAGTTAGTGGTTAGACATTCAAAATCACCATAGATTACAAAAGGACAAGGCAATTTAGTATTACGCTTTTCAAATTCTATATAAGTGTCTTTATTAGGTATCTTTGTTTGTTGTCCTTCTGATGCCATACATCCTTTTTCAAGATGGTTCTTGTATGCCTTTTCTGATTGAAACGGATTTAAGCAATGGTGGCAGTAAAACTTTTTATTAGTGTTGCTACTGCTCTGACAGTTTAATAGTCTACATTTATTTTTTACTAATACATAATGATAGTGATTATCTTCATCATAGACTTTTAACAAATCTATTTCATATTTAGCATTTCTATTTTTAGTTCCTCTATGTAATATGATTTTATTATCATTTAAGCAGTCATCAGGTTCAAAAACATTTATTGAAACAAATTTGTTGTTTTCTTCAAATCTGTCTATGTCCCTATTACCAGATGGAAAATTTACACCATCCCAGTTCAAAATATCATCTTTCAATTTGTTATAGTGAAACATTTCCTCTGGGTGATGTTTGCTTATTTTGTCATAGACTACGGATTGAATGCAATATTTGAAGCATTTTTCGTCTTTGTTCTTGATGTTGATACATGCCTTCTTTAACTTAATCCATTCTGGTAATTCTATGTATCTCCCTGCTCTTGTTGGGTCATATTTGTCATAATGAATGGTTATTGACAAAAAAATTTTGAAGCGTAAATTAGATGCTGATGCTTCTAAATTTTGTATCTGTAATAAGATTTGTTTAACACTATCTTCTAATGCCTGTGTCAGTTCATCTTCGTTACTAATATTGAAGCGTGTTGATGGTAAAGCATATACAAGTTCCTGACTGCCAATTTCATTACCTCCATCATCATATTCAGGTTTTTCGAATAATCCTTCCGTTCTTATGTTAAGTTTCACGCTTCTATTCTTTCTTAAAAACTCTAATAGTCTTGGTTTTTGGTGAGCAATCATTTCTAAACCTCTTTCTCCTTCAAAGTGTTTGTTTTCTAAAACGATTGAATTAGCATATCTTCTAAATGCTGACTGAATATCTCTGACCTTAAATTTGTTTTGTATTGCGTGTCTGGTTAGTAAGTTTCTGACTTTTGCTTCACTAAACGCATCCTTTGCCTTGTTTAAAGCGTAACTTCTGTATTCATTAGTTTTCTTCACTGATAATAATTTCTTTGTTAAAACATTAGATATGGGTTTGTCTTTGTTGTATCTAAATTTCTTGTTGTCTATTACTATTGTTTTCAATTCTTTTCTTCCTCTTTTCGGTATTTCTGCTTTATTAGTATTCAAAAGATAGTCTATAACTTTTTTCATCATATAATAGTGTCGATCTGTGCCAACCGTGCCGCTTCGTCAGGGACTCTCAAGCCCTAGCGGGAAAAAGGTCCGCGTGGAGTGCGGGTGTAGGTCTGTGGGCTACCATAATTGGTAGCGGAGCCAGGTGAAAAGCGCCTGGCTCCTGGGTGAACTAGGTAGTTCATCGGAGCGCCGACCGTGCCGCGCGTAGGAAGCCATGGAAGCAGGAACATCCATGCGGATGTTCAGTGGAGATGACTGCGATTAGCGGGAGTATCGCAGGTGGAAGCAATGGGCCCTCAACAAGATGAGGACCATGGACAAGCTTGGTGAGGAAGCGCGGGGATCGTTCATCTGGACGTTGTTGAGCGGCCGTGCACTGGAAGTGGTCGAGCACCTGAAGGAAGAGGACTACCAGAAGAAAGGTGGCGAACAGGTGATCTTCGACCTCCTCGACCGTCGCGCTGGAACTGTCCGAAAGTCATCAGTGCACTGCTTTGGTCAGAGCAACGACTTTGCTGAAACAAAATGTTTTTTACACAGTCATTGAATGCACTTCTCTGCAGTCCTTGCGGATTTGTCTCACCCAAACGGCTGGTTGTGCAGTCCCAGTACCACCTTGCAGGGAGGAGGTATGGATGCTTGTATTACTTTTATCTATCAACTTCGTGATTGTCCAGATATATATATATACACTATATACACATATAAATCTCAACAAGTTTATTCAACCTCCATCCACCTCCTCTTTCGAACAGCGTGCGCAAAACAGAACCAAACACGAAAGAGAACCTGTTTCTGAAACACAGTCCTGATGTTGGCAAAGGAATTTGTTGGAGCTTACGGGCAATCAGCAGCTTCATGTGATAGGACGATGGGATGACAGCCCATTCCTTGTCTGTGCCGGTGAAGATGGGTGGCAAACCAAATGTGATGGCATCCTTGTCGATGACCCCGCCCACGTTCTCCTCCGCAATCATTCTTGCACCTTCGTCTGTCTTCACATCCTCCACCAAAGAGAAGCCTTGCTTGGCGATGTTCTCCAGGTGAGCCCTTGCCGGTGCATTTTTCGCACACGAAGGCAGCCCTGGACATCGCACAACCGCAAAGGGGTCGAAGGTATCTTTCTTCCAAATGAGGCTCTCCAAGGCCTGCTTGGTGGTGTAAATGTCGCCGCCGAAGTAGTTGTAGAACATCTCTGCCAAGTCTGCGTCCATACCCCAATCATCCTGCAGCATCTTGATCATGTCTGACTCTGGCACTTCGCCGATGACAATGATGTTGCCGATGTCCCTGAGGTCTAACCCTGCAGCTTGCAGGCGGAAGGGATACCCAAACTCTGAGGAGATGAGGACTACGCTCGACAGCTTGTCTTGCTTTGTCCATTGTGTCATCGCGGCCAAAGCTGACTTCGCTTCGCGCCTCTCCCCGCCATCCTGTCCGTTTGTCAAGCCGGGTAGTGCAAGGTTTGCCTCGTCCACCACAATTGCAGGTTTTTTGGATGTTCTGCCCACGATCCGTAGAAATTCATCCAGTGCAATCCTAACCCTTTTCCTTTTTTCTGCAACAAGTAGCACGAATGCATCCCTCACATAGTTGGCGATGGGAGCCGCTGCAGAACCGAGGTTTTCAACAACCGTAAAAGCTGCAGTCAAAATCGCCGAAAGTGCAGGAATGAATGGCTTGAACTCTTCTTCAGTAGTCATGTTCTCCACGGTACTGTTAGCAACTTGTAGCAACACCTCCAGCAAATTTTCTCCAGGATGGCTTCTCATGTCCTCTGAGAGGACCATCACGTTGGAACCACACCTTTGCAGAGCTTCTTTTTTGAGAAATGTTTTTCCTAAGTTCTTGCCCCCTAAGACCAAGGTGAACAATCCTGTCGTCTCCATTGACCGCACCAAAGCCTGTATCGCATCACCCCTGTCAACAATTTTGCTGGAATTCATGTGACTGTATGCAAGCGCAACAATGCTCTCCATATGTGTCTGGTCATCAGTCTTGCTCCTACTCGCCGCATTCTGCACGGCTGCCCAAAACCCCTTTCCTTCGCCCACGTCAACACGAAGAGGTAGACCACGTAGCTTCACTGAACGCGGTGGATGTCTTGTTGTCCCTGTTGTCAAAAAACATACAATCACACTTGCCCAAAGCACACATGCGAGCGCACCACGCCATTTGCGTGAGCCGGACATTTCATAAAGTGTAGTCAGAAGTATTCAAACAACTTTGAAAAGTTCATCAAATGGCAACAAATCATGCAAATGTCCCTTCTGTTTTTGAATAGTTGACCTGTCTTTCCGAGGCTGCAGTGAAGGTTGACCATGCAAAATCTGTGAGCGTCTTTACACATCTCTGTGCACGTACCACTGATAGTGTGAACACTAAGTTCCTCCACTAGAATGAGGTTTAAAAGAGAAGCAACTTCCAGGGTTTCCTGTGCAAGTGTGCCCGAAAAACAATGAACATTAATGTCCAAAGTTTGCAGTTGTCCTCGGAGAAATTCCTTCATTTGCAGTGGCTTGAAGAGAAAGGACGACACAGGCGGAAATATAAAGAGTTTGTAGAACCATATCGAAAACATGCTTGGTTCGGTGGGAAAACCAGTTACCGACTTTGCACCGATTTCAGGGAAATCCGTCACTGATTTGGGGAAATCTGTCACCGATTTTAAGGAAATCTGTCCCCGAGTTTGGGGAAATCTGCCACCAATTTTGAGGAAATCTGTCACCGACTTCGGGGAAATCCGCCACCGACTTTGGGAAAATCTGTCACCGACTTTGGGGAAATCTGTCACCGACTTTGGGGAAACCAGCCACCGACTTTGGGAAGCTCCGTTTTCAAGAAAAAATCTCCGCTTTTGGAAAAATTTATTGGGAAAAACATGTTCCGTTTTTGGGAAAAACATGCTTCGTTTTTGGCCAAAACATGTTCCGTTTTTGGGGAGCACATGCCCCATTTTGGGGAAGAACAGGCTCCGTCTTTGGGACAAAGTGGCCCCGTTTTGGTGAAAAACCAGCTCGGTTTGGGGGTAAGGAAGGTCACACGTGAAAAAAGGTCGGGATCGGCACGTCGTCCCTTGTTTCTTGAGCCATCGAGCGAGTGCACAACTGGTTTGTGCTTGTCAACTGAAACATGCGATCAGTGTCGATCGAATCATTCACGATTCACACTCCCCCTACCTGCGTTGCAGGTATGAGTGCCTTGTATGCTCAGCAGGTTTTTTCTTCTGCTTTGCATTCCAAACAAAAAGCTTCTAACTCAGTAGAAAATTTCAAAGCTGCCCTCAGAGTCGTTGGGATCTTCCTCCCTTGTTGCTCGGCTTGGTGCACGTGGTGGAGGCATTTGCGTGCCAACCCCCATCCACACAGGCAGCTGATCCGCCCCCCCCC